CGCTCGGCCCAGAAATTGTCTTAAACTAACCCTCAATTATAAAAAAGTAAATGTACAAAATTGATAGGAGGGGGGGGTCCAATAATCGTTCTCTAGGAATATACCAATATTTCTGCCATTTCGGGCACCCCTATATGGAGACTCCGTTATATTTTAGTTACGTCGATTACGATTAATTCTATTTAGAAACATTCCACTGGTGTATTCTTAATCGTTATCAAATATTCTATTCCCACTGCTTCGAGCTAATTTTAATAAGTCAAAGAAGTCTTATAAGTCTCGATCTGTCTTTAATCCAATAAGACTTATATCAAAGATCTTCTCTTAAACTATATTTTCATATCCAGGTAATTTTTACTTCTCAAGATATTCCAAGATTCATGACGATAGTCTTGAGATATATCTTCTAATTCTATTCTTAATTATGGCGTTAAGTCATTTAAGATTTCGCAGTAACTTTTATGTTTCTTTTTGTATAAAATTAATCGGTCAATATTCAATGAAAGAAATTAAATTGCCAAGATGATTATTGTACAATTCAATAATAGTTCCAGAACACAATTTTTTTTTTTTTTAACTGTATTTTTGTATTTTTCAATTGCTACAGTATCTATATGTCTAAAAGTCTTCAGCTTATATTTGTAAGAACAAGGCTATTTTTGGTTTTAATCTCGTAAATCTTTATATAGAGACTAAATTGCAATAAGCAAATTGAAACATAAATTCTAACATTCGTGCATTTCCATATATATTTTTGAATGTTTAAAACATTTATTCATAATACCGTAACTGTCTATTTCTCGTCAATAAAAGTTTGAAGAAGAAGAATACTCGTCTTATATATAACTAGCTGAAGGGCCCGGCATTGCCCGTGAAAAAAATGTTCTTTACAAATTTTGATTTTTTAAAGCCTATAACACCCCCCGGCCACCCCTGAGTGTCCACAACAAATTTCAGCCCAATCAGTCCAGCCATTTGGCCGGCTATATGCAACATATATATATACCAATGTCTTGTTTTATTATATATAATATATATTTAGGAATGTGGGTAATCCCTGTAGGGCTGTGTTTAAGAAACCAATGGTACAGGTTTCCTCTGATCTGGTTCATTTTCTCCGTTGTTACTTCCTTCATCACTAAGAAGTCTCTAGAAAAACCTATCGAGGTAGAACACATTTTCGTCGATTTAGACGGTTTACATAATTATAACCCTATATTTACTTTTGTGTTTTATTTCAGATCCTTGAAATAAAGAAAGAAAAAAAATCTTTATTTAAAAAATCAGTCCAGAATGTCCGTTTATCAAACTTCAATTTGACTTCTTCTATTTTAACATGTAAATAATGAAAACAATTACAGAAAAAGTAAATCAAACATAAGAGTTTTTGAAGTGTACATTGTAGAATATTTTAATCATGTTTTATCTAGGGAACAACCCCTCGCCTTGTTTACAAATGGTTCCTGTTGATCTACAAGATCAGCTACTGTACCGGTATATTCGGATACTTTACCATGATGGCAACCTTCTTGGGGTTCAACTTCATATTCGGAGCTAAACCTTCGACCTGGATGGATGCAGGACTCATGTGCATGTTCTACGCTCTCTACTACGGAGTAATGGCGCGGGACTTTGCCGAGATATGCTCGGAGAAGATGGCAGCAAACATAGGTAACACTAGTCCTATGTGTTCTTTTAGTTTAAATACTGATCCGCCACAAATATGAATGAAAACCCAACTTTTTTCCTTCCTATTTTGATTTAACTATATGTGACTGAGACGTGGGATTAAATAATGAAAATTATTATTATTATTATTTAATGGTTCGAAAACAATCATATGAATAAAATCAATACAGCTAATCTACAGCAAATGAGATTAAGTAATAATGAAGTAAGTTTGTAAGAAAAGTAAAATAAACATATTTGCCTCTTTGTCTTGTATAGAAAATAATCCGGGTTCGGATACGTAAATATATGATGGATAAAAGGGGAATAATAAGTTTCACCTCCCTGTAAATATTTTTAAACTCTTTTAAATTTTTCATTCCTGTTTTAGGATACTACAAGGTTGAAGGTATTCCTGAGCGAACCCTGGAGTCTGATACTTGTGCAGTGTGCGGGAACAAGCTCCTGGTCCCTGTAGGAGAGGAGGGGGTTATTGAGAACACGTTCCGTCTCTCCTGTAGCCATGAGTTCCATGAGTTCTGTATCAGGGGTTGGTGTATAGTAGGGAAGAAGGAAACCTGTCCTTGGTGTCACGAGAAGGTGGATTTAAAGGTAACATCAGAGTTATTTACATTTTACAACTTTTACACAGTTTAAGAAAACAATATTTATAAATACTTCCTTTGCATAACATTACCTTTTGTGTGTTTAGAGAATGTTTCCAACTCCATGGGAGAAACCTCACATGATGTATGGTCAGCTTCTGGACTGGGTTCGTTGGTTGGTTTGTTGGCAGCCGGTTATCCTACTCCTGGTTCAGGGGATAAACTGGGCTCTTGGTCTAGAGTAGTCCTATCCTACTCCTGGTTCAGGGGATAAACTGAACCCTAGGTCTAGAGTAGTCCTATCCTACTTCTGGTTCAGGGGATAAACTGAACCCTAGGTCTAGAGTAGTCCTATCCTACTCCTGGTTCAGGGGATAAACTTGACTCTAGGTCTAGAGTAGTCCTATCCAGGAGGATTGGGATTGTTATGATTGCATTGTTTTCATAGTTCTTGTTTTTGTAGAGATACAAATTTTTCAATACTTCCTGAGCTGAAAACTTTAGAATGGTGGATATCGAGATCAATGCTTAATCTCCTGGATTTACTAAACTAGAGAGTAGGTTAATGCATAATACGCTCTTTAACTTTTGAAAACCCGCTTTTTAATTTTAGCGCAATTCTGGTGTTGATGGTGTCATTTAAATTAAACTAATGATCGGTTGAACGAACGTAAGTTTTGTCTTAAATGTTTATTAAAATTAACGTTCAAAATTATTAAAGTTCACAATAATAAATTATTTAAGCATGATTAAATTTATATTTGTTCAAATGCTCTAAAAGCCGGCTTGTGAACAGCTAACTTTAGTTCAATCGGATATGAGTCCAATCGATATAGCATCGTATCTGTAATTGTTATCAAACGTAAATTGCATACAGTAGGCGTAATCAAAAGAAGAATTAAGAAGAAAATCAGAAGTGTATACATTGGATACTCAGATTAAGCGATCGGGATTAAGGATATCTCATTCTAAAGTTTTCCGCTTTGGATAAAACAGGTTTACCGCCACTTTTCAGTAGAATTTAACTAATTGTTATTTGTAATTTTAGCTTTATACGTTTGCAATCTCATCAAATTTAAGTGCGGTATTCTGTATTATAAAATCATAAACATAAAATCTTAACTGCCACTGGGTTTTAAAGTTTTTCAAAGAAAATACTAATTTCTTAATGGTTTCATATAGTTTTTAATTGTTAAATCTAACCCTTGCTTCATGTCTTCATAAAAATGTAATTAATTTTGTTGTCTCAAATGTTTGAATGATAAGAATGTACCCCTAAGGAGTATCCTTCGATGAATTGCAAAAAAATTATTTGTAGTTTTTTTTTAACTGGCATGTTAGAAAACAATTATGTACACGTTCATGTGTACTTTAAAGACATTTATGTACACGTATATGTGTACTTTGAAGACAAGATGTATTCATTATTCCCCAAAACCCTTTCCCCTCTTCTATATCCCCTTTTATTAATAGTAATCTTGTAAAATTATCGTATATATATATATAGTATATATATGCTCTTGTTAAATGTTAATTTTTATGTAAAACAATTCTAGTTTGAATTAACTGGAAAGAATTGAATCAAGCAGGGTTTGGGGGTTTTAACAAGTATTGTTCTGATGAATTAATTTTAAGAATTGTAATATTTTATAGATGATTTTTTTTTATTTATCCCTGCAATGTTTGCTAAGAATTGTTTAATGTAATACTAGTTGACAGTAGTCAATATTCTTAATGCCACTTAATGTATTTATTTTTTAAAATGTTTTTAATTTATATATTCTCAGTTTTCTTAAAAACATCATAAGAGCTTATTTTTTTTGAAACAATTTTGTAAATAATTAATGTTTTTTTAAAAATATTTTTGTCTGTGATAAATTATGAATTTTAAACCCTTTTACAGAGAGAATGATGTATGTACTGTACTCACTGCTGCTACTGTTTGGTGCTGTTGGGATGTACGGTTATGAATTATCAGATATCACGGGAAAGGTAATTAATAAAGTTGACACAAAAATTAAAAAAAAGATAAATTGATGTATTATTTAATGAATTTGTTGACTACTCGAGAACACTTTCATTTCCAATCAAACTTGGTTGCAATCAAATTAATTGCTGTCAGCGATTGCAGTATCAAGCCAATTGCAATCAAATCAATTGCAGTCTGATTCCGAAATTTTCCTAATATGAACGAATATGCGTTACATTAATTTTGCAATGCAGTCAAAAAAAATTATTTTCTTTTGGATCCGAAACTATTTCTTGCATGACGGAAGAGTATCTAAAGAGATTCAGAGAGCTACATTAAATTAGACCGCGCCAATTGGTCTAAACTATAAATTACAATTTGGGCGACAAATCAGAAAATTTAAGAAGAATGAATCACTTTGAAAAATTTAATAAGGCTAATACAACTTTTTTTCAGAAAATACTAGATTTTTCGAGTATTATGTGCGTATTTTGGTGTTAACGATTGGAGATAATCTAATATGATATGGAGTAATTGACAAAATGACAACTTTTGGTGTGAGAGCATTGTGGATCCATTTACGTAAACTAACCAATGCAAAATTAGATTAGGCTTTGTTTATTAGACTTCAAACAAGTCTTGAATTCCATGTTTAGGTATTTGGTAACAACAGTGGTGTCATTCCAGCATCATTTGGAGATTTCAACGGTGATAAGTTGACCGACATGATTGTTCTCAAGAGTAATCCCAACGACGACATTCTAAGCCTGCGCCTGCTATTGGCAAATGAGCAGAAGGTTGTTACCTCGGCTAGCAGTTCTAATCCTCTGTTCCATTGGGGAACTAGAGATGAAAACCTACAATGCAACTTTCTCAAGGTAGGTTTTTGTATTTGAAATTAAAAAAAAATTGAAAAAATCATCAAATTCAAATTAAAGAAAAGATCGTGGTAGATCCCCAACGTTGAGTCCCGAGACCGCCATTGGAAGTAATGGGTTCATATTAACGATACAATGTATTAATCAAACAGAATATTGCTCATTAGCTTGGAAAACCCAGTTTGCATCAGAATCTAAACTTTCTCAGTGTAAACTTACCTTGGTCCGAAAAACCAGAGGCCGAATTTAAAGAATTTGAGTAGCGGCTTATATCCGCCAAAACCCGCTTTAAATTGAGCGCTGGCTTAAATCTTGAAACATTTGATACAATTTTAGTGAAACCAACCATAATTAAGCCGCGGCTCAAATTCTGTAAATTCGGCCTCTGGATAAACTAACTATGGGTATTAAGCCAACCCTGAGTACTAATCCGGGACGAAAAAACCTTACTTCAAGTTTTTTAGGGATCCTTAACCAGTGCATTTTTTAGGGATCCCTAACTAGTGCAGTTCCCGGGGATTTCGACGGTGACGGAGGAATGGATATTTTTATAACCTCCAAGATCGGAGGGAAGCTGGAGGGATCCATTCTTTGGGGATATCATACAGATACTATTCATCAGCTCCTCTGTCAGGAAGACCAGGATCCTGCCTGGGTTCATACAATCCCTCTGCTTCAGGAACCTCTAGTCTTTGATTACAACTTTGATTACATCTCCGACCTACTCCTCGTCACAGAGGATGGGAACAGAACTGTTTACATATTCTCCGAGAACAGGACGGATACTTATTCGGTTTTGACTTTGAAATCTCCAAGAAACGATCAACTCAAGGCCACACACTCAAACGCTCACCTTGATATGAACGAGGATGGATTTGCAGATCTTCTTCTTACAACCTTGTCCGGGCTAGAGATGTACCGAAGAGTTGGAATAGGGTTGGAAGAGAACTTTGAATATCAGGGTCATGTTCCCTGGCCCAACGAGGTTACATCTGGATCCTGTACCGTGGATGAATGTGTCGGCCAGGCCGTGATTGCTGACTTTGATCTCAGCGGAACCTTGGATCTTATCATTCCCATCTGTTTCGATACGTTCTGTAAGAGCTCCAACATGTTTCTGATCCCGCTTTCGGAGCTGTGGACAGCCACAGGTTGGATCTGGTTCCCCATGTCTATGGATTTAGGTTCTCTGCACTTCTTTCCTCCCGGATCTAAATCCAACCTGCTCCAACTGATGGCTCCACGGGTTGGAGATGTTGATCTAGACGGGTTTCCTGATCTCCTGATGCCTCTACAGAACACAAGCTCTCAACCAGAGACTCATCTGCTGATGAATGTACCATGCGGAGCATTCTCGACGTGTCAACCCTTCTGGAGAGAGTTCCAACTTAGACCAGCGTTTACTGAAGGTGTAGTATTTTTCAGTTAGCCCCCCCCCCATAAAACATTTTCCATCCATGTCTCTTTAACTAAAGTCTCTTTCAAACATCTATTTTATCAAAATCAAACAGATTAAATAAAAAAAATGACACTAATCACAAATTTATTTAGGACTAGTGGTCTATAAACATGAATCGGAAAAGATTTTTTGTCTGAAATTAAGTTAAAAAAAATAGACGATTTTACATATATTGAATCAATTTCTTTAATTACCAATTATATTTTCCTGCTAAAGAACTTCTTACAGAGATGGTAAGTGCGAAGTGGTTGAAAGGTAAAGGTAGTTCAGCTACTTCAAGTCGAGCAATTACATTGGTTAAAGAACACCTTACAAGAATCCATCCAATCCATATCTTAAAAAATTAATGAAGCGTTGAGTTTTTTTTTTTATATTGGTGCACTTTTGAGATTGAACCAGTTCTCAGATCGAGCTGACTCGGGTCAAATTAAACCGTATTCATAAATTGTAAACTCTGAAATTATCCAGGAACTGGAAACACCGTGATGTCAACTTTCTTTGATCTGTTTGAGGATGGCCGGCCTGATGTACTCGCTGTATCGGGGAACCATGAGAACGGGTTTAAACTTGCTGCTTACACTAACACGTCACAGGATAGCGATGCTTACTTTGTCAAGGTAAACTAATGAACAATGATAAAAAGGACATTCAACCATCTTCATCAAATTATCTCATCGTTTTTACAATCAGATTTGAAATTAACTCTCCCAATTTTTTAAAAATTGTATCTGTAGCCATCCTTAATTGTTTGCTGTATGTAGGTTGTAGTTCTGTCCGGAGCATGCCTGCACAATTGCCGCAATAAATCCTCGAAATATGTTCCCTACGGTACCAACAGTGGAGGTCAGATTGTGTCCTACCGATCCCAACGAGTAGGTCCTGAAACCTTTGATTACTTCCAGTCCGTCGCTGCCCAGCTCCCACAGTCAGCCTACTTCTCCCTTCAAACCCCGTACACTATATTCGGGTTGGGTTTAGCTCCGAACTTTGTAGATTATCTCTGGGTTAATATATCAGCTATGACGCACTCCTGGCCCCAGATTATCCCCAACTCTCAGCTCTACATCATCCCGTACCCGCGGAATAAGCCGGAGCAGTGGCAGGCCAAGATATCTATATTCCCGAGTAAAAGTATTGTCATCACTGGACTATCTATGATCGGAACCTGTGCTTTCACCGCTCTTCTCATTCTCATCCTTCATATCAGAGAGAGGAGGCAGGATCATCATGCGAAACTACAGGAGAGCAACAGATTTCATTTTGACGCCATGTAGATGTGATAAGATGAGATAATACCAGGAACTATCATAAGTCTCAGATTCCGTATTCGTTTTTGTATCAGATATGGTGGGACCCGTAGAACCGGAGTAGAAAGACGATATTCAAGCAATTTTTTAGTGCATTTGAAGTCGTTATGAAGCAAAAAGGTTTATTTGTAGCTTGAAATTGTTAAGTTAAATTGGTCTTTGTTAAGTGCAAAATACCCGTGTTTCATGTTCATTGAGCTATTTAAAATCATAACGTAGTCTAACTGTCTTCTTTTTCGTGGATTTTATATGTCCGACTGTAATTAAATCTTAAACTGTTGAATAGAAAAATATTTATTAAAGATAATTTTGCTCGAAAACTGTGATTTATAAACTGTAGTTAATATTTTTAGAAAGTCATTCTTATTAAAATAATATTTGCATATTTATTCGATTTTTTTATAAATCGTGCTGAGTATTGATTTGAAGCAATGTTGGGTTGGAATACATTCTGTTCTTAAGTTTTAAATAATATCGCCAAAGATTTTTCCGGTGATAACCGTTGCATGAAAATTTTCATCATTTTAGAAATTTTTTAATTTATTGTAAGAAAACTGGTTGATGATTGATACCATCCACATGATTAATTGCTTCATGGTCAACTTTTTTTATACATGTTCGTTTGTTGTCAGACACTGTTATGTTTTAAATTTATTTTCATTTATTAAACCATTCTATTGTTTCGTTAAACTTCGTTTCCTAGGTTGTTATTTAAACGATCCTCAGAACCTAGACGAAATGCCATTTTTCATGATTTAATAATCCAAGTGGCATTTTTAAAACTGTGATTTTATTATATGTTCTTTTAACTCTATATTTGTATTTGTTTTAGAAAAAAATGCGCTCCAGCCTTGATTGATAATCCTGATGGACAGAGAGAGGAACGAGATGAACGAGGTTCACATATTTCATATTTTTACGATTTTGTCCATTGAACTTAAATTTTTCTGCATCTACAATATAGAAAAAAGTCCTTTTTATTATTTCTTTTAAAAATGTCCCGCAGAATCTATATTTTTTTTACTACTTTTTTTGAAATGTCTCCTAAATAATCTAGACATATATCAGTTAATATAATTATAAGTTGCGCAAAACGCTTAACAGCATTTCTTTATCAAAAGAAAGAACAAAGGTGACAAACATTCCACTGTTAATTTGTTACTTCCGTACAGTGCACACAATTATAATATAGGAATTAAACCATTATTTTATAAATATATTTTATAGAGTGCAAGGATGGGGGTGGATGATAGATATACTATGGAAACGGAGGACAGATGTACTGCGGAGACGGAGGACAGATGTACTCCGGAGACAGAGGACAGATGTACTGCGGAGACGGAGGACAGATGTACTGCGGAGACGGAGGACAGATGTACTACGGAGACAGAGGACAGATGTACTACAGAGACGGAGGACAGATGTACTGCGAAGACGGAGGACAGATGTACTCCGGAGACAACGGAGATCTGTAGATTCTACCGCTCCGGTAGATGTAGATACGGAGATAACTGCAGGGATACACATTTAACGACTCCAGGTTACAGAAGTTTGTAGATTCATAAAATTAAGTTTTCCCAGGTGTCAGTAGAGGGGTGTATAATTATAAATAGAACTTTTGTGGATTGAGCTTCAAAAAGAGTTCAAGAAGGTGATAGTTTTGAGCTCCAAAATTATTTGTTGAAAATAGATATGATCTTTAGTCTTTCTCGATCTTGGTAAACAAAGAAAATAGTAAAATTTTTAAAAGTTATTTGAAATATTTGAAATATGTGAAGAGAACCACAATATTTGAAATATGTGAAGAGAAATATATAAACAGTATTTGAAATATGTGAAGAGAACCACAATGTTTGAAATATGTGAAGAGAACCACAACAAGAAGGAAAATGAACCTGAAAGAAACCTTAACAAAGAAGTTTGTCCTTATTCAAAATGGGGATGTTCTTGTCGGGTCGGGGGGTAACCTTTCAGATATATCTATTATAATTATTATTAATATTTGATTATTATTCTATTATTTTAGAACTGCCGAGCAAAGTCTGTTCTTTCTTCTCCAACGGTGATTGTTTCAAGGGTTCCAACTGTAGATATATTCATAACACCGGAGCTAGGTTCAGACTCAACACAAATTATTCCACTGTAAACCTGGAGGCGGAGAACGGCGGAGAGGAAGTAGCTACGGACAATCAAGGTTTGGCGGAGATGAAACCGGCGGATAATTTTGTAATCTGGGCGGAGAATAATTTTAGGTAAAAGCGGTTAACAGATTTAAGAGGGCGCAGGTTTTAAAATCTATTTTTTATGTATTCATTTAGAAATTAATATGTTCCAAAACCTATTTGTAAATTGTGGTTAGGTTTTTAAATAAAATACTAATCCTTTTTTGTGATGCTGTAATTAAAATTTCGATTGAATCGTTTATATTTTAGTAAATGGCGTGTTTCATCTTCTAACGACAACCTCTCAGATAAATTCCGGTTCAGTATTCCTTCTCCAGGTACATAGTTTAACTGGTGGATAGATAGGATAATCTGGATGTAAAGATAAAGTCTGAAGACTTTTCGAGTCTGCAAACTAGCGTCTGTAATTGTAAATATGTAATACTACTGGCTTGGGAACCCAGCTTTGCTTGGTTTCTAGATAAAAGACATTCCACTGTTCAAACCTAGTAAAGAACATTCTCGTGGATCTAACGAGTTCCTCAACAAAAAGATTTAATTTGTAACCTAGTTTGAAATATACATTATTTTTAATATTTGGTAGACGATGAATTGTTCTACAGCTCTGATTCTGATATTGAGCAGAGTAGGAAGTGTGGAGGAGAATATGAAAATATTCCATCTTGTTCATTAGTTCTCACCTCATGTAAACTCTGCTCTTCTTCATTCCTCTCAGGTAAACCTTTATAGTTAATAAAGGAATTGTATTTAAAGGAACTGGGACAAGATTTAATGAATAGCAAGACCTAGTTAAATCACTTTTTCTTAACTTCACCTGAATTTCTTAGACTTAGTTGAATCACTTCTCTTCAACAGAGGTTCTCACTATTCATTAAATCTGATCTCTGTAAACGTCATTTCATGTGATAATGATGATAAGCACACCTAAGTCTAATTAAGTGTTAAATTCTGACAATTTCCCTCCTCAATGTCTTGCTTTGCGATATAATTACGCATGTAACTTTAAAGAAGCTCAATTGAAAACTATATTTTCAGCTAGAAAAACACAAATCGCTTATTCCATCCTTTGATCAGACAAAGGTTTAAAAAGTACCTTTGTAAATTGGAAGAGTTTTTCCCTGGATTTGACTTCCAACCAAACTCGTGTAATTTTTTTAAGAGGAAAATCGTAAAAATTTTTTTTAATAAACTTAAAATCTTGTTGTTCAGTTGAGGAGAACCCTGTGGTTTGTTCAGAGTGCAGAGAAACCGAGGCTTCTAATCTCCCTGTTCCAGAGGAAACCAGGGAACACAGGGAGGACAAGAACAACAAGAACAGCAAGAACAAGAACAGCAAGAACAGCAAGAACAGAAAGAACAACAAGGAGAACAAAGAGGACATGGAGAACAAAGGAGGCTTGACGGATATACGGGAACAGGAGAAGCGGGATAACGAAGAGAAAAATGCCACAGTGGAAAAGAAACTTACTGAGCAAATGAAAGTCGAAAAAGACAAGAAAGTTCGAGAGGAGGGGAAAGTCAAAGCGGAAAAGGAAAGCAAGTTGGAAAAGGAAAGCAAGGAGGAAAAGGAAAGCAAGAAGGAAAAGGAAAGCAAGGAGGAAAAGGAAAGCAAGGATGCAAAGGAAAGCAAGGAGGCAAAGGAAAGCAAGGAGACAAAGGAAAGCAAGGAGGCAAAGGAAAGCAAGAAGGAAAAGAAAGTCAAGGAAGGAAAGAAAGGTAAAGAGAAAAAGAAAATTAAAGGAAAAAATAAAGTCAAGGATGGAAATGCTATGAAGACTAACTTCGTGGAACAGATAAAAAGTCTGGACGAGGAAAAAAAGAAGAACATGGAGAATGCTGGGGAGAAGGAGCTAAAAGTACTTGTTAAACAACTGGGAGCAAAAAATAGTTCAGATCTAGTTGAGTCGGAGAAAGTCCTGCTCAACGCTAACGATGATACTAAAGATACCAAGGGTTTTGGAAATACGAAGATTTATAGAGATCATGAGAATGCTGTATATCTCAATTGGTCTGAATATATCCAGACATCCGTTAATACCAAGAGTTCTGAAGATATCAAGAGTTCCGTTAATACCAAGAGTTCTGAAGATATCAAGAGTTCCGTTAATACCAAGAGTTTCGAAGATACCAAGATTACTGTACATCCCAATTGTTTTGAAGATATCAATAGTTCTGAAGATATCAAGAGTTCTGAAGATATCAAGAGTTCTGAAGATATCAAGAGTTCTGAAGATATCAAGAGTTCTGAAGATATCAGGAGTTCTGAAGATATCAAGAGTTCTGAAGATATCAATAGTTCTGAAGATATCAAGAGTTCTGAAGGTATCAAGAGTTCTGAAGATATCAAGAGTTCTGAAGATATCAATAGTTCTGAAGATATGAAGAGTTCTGAAGATATCAAAAGTTCGGAAGATCCCAACAGTTCTAAAAATTTCACCAGTTTCAGTGGTACCAAGAGTTCTAAAGATACGAAGAGTTCTGAAGATACCAAGAGGTCTAAAGATACCAAGAGTCCCGTTATTACGACCAGTTCATATTATACGAAGAGTTCTAATCTTTCTAAGAGTTCTGATGATACCAAAAGAACTGTAGGTTTCAAGAGTGTTCTTGAAAGCCATAGTTTTAAAAAATTTGAGATATTAGCAGTAAATGGGGTTTCTCTTGGTGAGAAATTATGTTTCCGGTCTGAGAAGATTGAACTAACTGAAAATACTAATCCACCAGTCTCCGATATATCTAAAGCAGGATCAGTGGTTGAATCTGAACTAGGTATCCAGCCTGGTTCCATGACTAGGAGAAGAAAAGGGCTGAAGAAGGTTGAAATGAATACCTCTAAACTAGACCCAACCTCCATTGTAAATAACCATAGATCTGAACAACCCTCATTCTTTCTCAATCCTAGGTTTAAGTCAAACAAGAGAAAAAAGAAACAGAAGAAAAAACTTGATCCTGAGAAGTTGGCGCCTCCAGGTTTAATAAAACAGAATAAAGATGAGTTATCTTCAAACCCCTTCTCCTTAGTGTTAAACTATCTTAAGATGTGGATAATAAAACTTGCTTTGCTCCTCGGATACAACTTAGAGTTGAAGGAGATCGGATTTATGGAGCTGGTTTGGTTCCTAGTCTCCACAGTTTTGCCCCTAGTGTATCTGCCTTCACGAATATATCATACTGTATCCTGGTCCAAGATTATATTCCTTATAAGATATGGAATTGTGAAGTCTAGAGTCCAACTTCTGTTAATATGGTTGAGATTGAAATACAGTTGGATGGAGCCGATACCACAGGTTAAATATCAGCTTTGTTAAACTAAATTACCTTTTCTTATTTATGAACTTTTTTAATAGCCGACCAAACGGCTCGACCGATTTTTTTTGTTCCGCGGGCAACGCCGGGCCCTTCAGCTAGTTGTCATTATAACATGAATCTGAATAAGTTTTAAATACAGGTCGAATGTGTGCAATGGAGTCCAAGGAACCGATTGCTTAGCTTTGAACACATGAAACTGGTTGAGAAGGGATACAAGTTTCTAGCTAAAGGAAACAATCAAAAGGGAAGGGTTCTAATGTTTTCCGTAAAAATTATCCATATGGCTGAAGCTTATAAGCTCCAAAAGTTCTGAATATTCTCTCTCGGTAAAAATATGAAATCAGAAAATATCTTTAACCTAAATTGCATAATAATCAACGTATTTTTGTATACTGCAAGTCAATTAAAAGTTGATTGGAAAAAGGGTGCGAAGACCTTTTGCCTAATTTATTTTGCTATTGTAAGTATGATATGTGAAAAATGATATGTGAAAAATGAACCCTTTTGTATGAAGGCGGACCAAGTATTCTCCGATGGTACGGTTACAGGTTACCCGGCCTTCTTCAGTGGTAGAGCACATGCATTGAGCAACTTGAAAGAGAGGATCAAGGCCTTAAAGCAGATAGTTCAAATATCAAGTCCTAATCTACGTGAGTTGGTACTAGCGGCCTACTGTTACCTAGAGTTGGAATATCTAGTTCCGGCAGCGAAGATTTATACTTTCTGCGTCCAGGACTCTGAGAGGTTGCGGAATGCGACGGTGAACAGTGAAATTGCCGCTCTGGGAAGATGGATTTCTTTGACGAAATATCAGTTTATCCAGTTGGAACAGATTCAAAATCCTTACTCCAGGTGGGACAACAGACCTTTGGAGTTTCCCTCCAGTAGATCGTCCTGCTTACAGATGTTCAATGAACTTGAACTCGACTCCATCGACACAGATCCAATCAATCCACAAAATCGGTATATTGACGCATTGTGCAATTTTGCCGCCGGGAACTACATATGCTCCGCCACGGCGGCGGTGGTTACGCGTTGTTCCTCGGCGGAGGATTTTTATCACTGCGTCGCTCTGGAATATTATGTTGAAAAATCCAAACCGTTATTGAAAGCAGCCATTGCGTCCTACATAGTTCTGAATATGGCAGAAACAGCTCTTGAAAATGGACTTTATGATGAATTTGAAGAGCTTATTAAGTCCCTTCGAGAATATTGTGAAAGTATGCGTATTCCAAATCCTTATGGAGTTTTAAAATCCCAGTTTTTGACCGCCAAGAGGTTTTACATAAACCAGAGCTATACTGAGGCCTTGAGTGTTTGTGATCAGTTTAAGGATGTGGATCATCCGCTCCGGGTTGAGTTTCAGCTTTTGGAGGGTAGAGTTTTCAAGGAGCTAGGCCGATACGAGGACGCTAGATCTGTCCTGAGCTCCGAGGACCTACTAGATAGTCCTCAGCATGGTATAGAGTCCAGAGCACTACTGGACCAGGTTCAGAAATCTTTAAATCTTCAAGTATCTACGGACCAGTACACGTGTATCAGTAAAGAGAGTTTATCAAACATGTTTGCTCCGTCAACCTGCTTGGAGAGAGAGAAGGAGAAGGTTGTGGAGAAACCTTACAACTCCCGTCACGTCCTCATGGATCTAAGAGCAGGAGCAGGCACTATAGATCCTTGTCGTTGGCGGAGATAAGGTCTCAACAACACAGAACCAAAATCCGCAAAAATTGATCATTTTACTTTAGTTAACCGACATTTTACAGCAATACCTGATATATCGACTGACGAGCTTAAATAATTAAAACCTAAAATGTTTTTAATCATATCTATATTTGAAAATAATTTCAGAATAGAATGAGTTCCAAGAAAGCTCCGATCGATCTTGAATCCAAAAATCGAGGTTGGCCCAAAGGAAAGCGACGATATCCAAAGGGTATCGGTGCTCCTAAACAACCCCTGAGTGGTTATGTTCACTTCTTAAACGAGCGAAGAGAGAGCGTACGGGCGGAGAACCCTGAGATAAGTTTCAGTGATCTGAGTAAGAAACTTGCTGCGGAGTGGAGTAGGCAGACGGAGGAGGAGAAGAACAAGTACAACGAGTTCGCCAAGAAGGACAAGGATAGGTAAATAAATATCATCAAATTTCTTAATTTGGCGGAGAAATTGAGAAATTGATTACTTGCCTTTGGTCGCTAATTTTAGATACAGGGTTACCCACAAAGGATGAGACTTCAGAGACGACTGTACGGGATTCAAACGGTCTGTTTCTATATTCAAGAGGTTCTCTGCAACCGTAAACTGGTTTCTTTGTTCGTCAAATCATTAGATAATTCATTTACGAATATTTTCAAGGCACAAGAGTGAAGTAAACCTTGGAATAATCATTTCTAATGGGTTTCAGGTCGTCTTTATAGTCTCATCATTTGTGGGTAACCCAGTTTATCAAACATTGGCAGTTTCAGTAGTAACTGGTTCTATTCAAAGTATAAGTTAATAAGGTCTACAACATCTAGTTACAAAGCTAAAAAATTGAAAGTTTGAGGATGGTTATCAGTTCCTTTATGTAAAAAGACATCAGAGTATTAAATGTTGAATTTATCTGTCTGTTTTATGGTTTCTATTGACGCTGAAGCGATGAGTTTTTTTCTTCTTAAGATATGAAAGTGAACTAGTTGAATATCAGCAAACTGATGCCTACAAACAGTATATAGGTAATTGTACAATGTACATCACAAACTTCAAACATTTCCAGTTTAATTCTAAAATTAGATAAATCTGTCACTTTTCTACATGAAAAACAATAGTCTAAATCAGGTTTAATTTTGTTGTTGTCTTAATTCTGATAAAAACATGTGTACTTCCATGGCATAAGCTGGTTTTACATTTTCTTGGACAGTTTATTTTCCCGCCGTTTTCAAATAAGTTTTTATGTACTGTACTGTACTGTACCTGTTCAAGGCTTGAAGTGGTATTTTTACTTTTCAAGTGAAATCCAAACTGGGACAAAAAAGTGGTCAGCTGTGACTATGAAAGTATAGTTCTTGGAAAAAAATATAATATTAAGAATTACCCCCCACCATCAAACAGTAAGTTTTTTCATTTTTTATGTCATAAATAATTTCTGGGGAATAAAATGGAGGGGGAGGGGGGGATTGAATGATTTTTTGAGATAATGTACAACCCTGATTTTTGATTATTAAAGTCTAATGAAACATCTAATCCTTAATTTTCATATTGTTTAGAATCCCAGAGGTCATCTGAATCCAGCGCTTCAGCTCCGTCGAAGAAGAAGAAGAAAGGTGGTGCACCGGTGAGCTCTAAACGATCTAGTTTTGATGAGAGTGAGGGCGAGGACCCTCCAATGGTTGCCGGATCCACGCCAAACTCATCAATATTTCATATTCCTATATTCACGGAGGAGTTCCTGGAGCACAACAAGGTGAAAATTTAGGAATTTCCGAAATTTTCCAGTTTTTTCCTTCAGTTTACGATCAAGATAAGTTTTATGTGTTCAGTGTTGATGATTATAAACAACTTTTTAAAATTAAAATACTCATCTACTTGACAGATTTTATTTATTAATGCTTAGAAGTTTAAACATATTTAGTTTCACATATCCTGTTTTAGTGCATACTTAGTTGAGTTATCAGTGTAAACATTATAAGTTCTTCTGGTTTTGTTTCACTATGTCGAAATATCTAGTATATCTTGTATTTTTGACTATAAAGTACACATTTATAGAAATCGCATTAGTATCAAACTTGCTAGTCTTGTAGTAATTGCGTCCATGTGCTACTTCTTCATTCATTATAATGTAAGCGTGATTAAATGCGTAATTAAAAATTTTGAAACAACAAAATTCTCAAAACTTTTTGCGAGTAACATAATCTTTGAAAAGTATAAGTCCTGTTCAAATCCATACAGGGTTATAAAAGGGTACTATAAAGTTTGACTCGGGCATTGCTTTCTTTGCATGGAGGGTCGCTTAGAATTACGCTAACAGTCCCTCTTAGAAAAGCACAGTTATGATCTTGAGTTTTGATAGCTTGTTGTGCCAATGGGTTCTCGGTTGAATGGATGTTACCGGTAAATATAAGAATAGATTTGCGTAAAACTCAAATTATAACAGGGACGTGAGAATGAACTGCGTCAGCTGCGTAAACAGACAACTGAATTTGAAGAGCAGAATGCAGTGCTGGAGAAGCATATTGAGAGCATGAAGGCCGCTATCAGCAAGCTGGAGATGGAAACCCTGCAGCAGAGGCAGAGTAACGCCAGCCTTCACCAGCACCTGGAGTCCGTAAGGCAGCTGGTTCTCCAGGGGTTCAGGGGAGTCACGGTCCCAGGTATTATTTCTTGAAATACAAGAGTGTATATTTTCTTGGACATTTTTTCTTGAAAATTTATTTCCCTGAAGTTTAATAAAAAATATGTTGATGGTTTTATTCACTGAGTTGGGGAAAATAAATGATTGGATGAATAGATAAACAGTGTCAAAAAGTATGAAAAAACTTTTTATTTTTAAGGGATGACTGAACCTCTCTCCGTGAGGAACGTGGATCAGATGGTTTCCACCCTGTTGAGCCTGGTGGAGAAGAATCCGAACCAGAACCAGGCTCTCATCAACTCTGCCAAGGATATTATTGCCAGGATTGATTACGGCAAGATATCATGTTGATCTGATCTTAGTAAAAAACAGTTAATGAATAGGAAATTTTAATCTCAGCTGATAGTACTTGTACATATTTCCAGGGATGTTTTATTGTTTAAAATCACACCCCCCCCTCCATAATTTCTTAGAAATATTTGTTTTTAGAATTTAGTTCCTTATTATGAATTTTTTGGTAATGAAATGATTTCTTTAGAATTTTTGAGGACAAACTATTATTTATATTAAACATTAAACATTAAACGATCCTCAGGGTGCGGTCGGGACTAGGGAGTAATACCTAAAAATATGTAGAGCTCTTTTGCCTTTTTTTTGTACATTTTACAATGCATATACTTACGGCATGTACAGTACGGTTTCATAGCGGGGTATAATTTTCTTAAGTATGTTTATAAATATATTGTAATTTTGTCCTTCCCAGGAGTATTTATCATTTATCCTCCACGTGCACTGTAGCTCTATACACTACAGTTGTAATATAATTTGTACCTTTGCACACTTTAAATTAATTTGCTTTGATCTCTGTTATTATAACTTACAAATTTAATTAGTTGCTCAGTTTTCTGTAATCCCTGTATTGTATATATTTATAAATGAACTATTTTCCACATATATTATGAATTTACATGAATTTTTATTTTCAGAAAACATGAGTCAGGTTTACAAGACATGATTGAACCTTGCTAGTATGCTAAGTCCAGCCTTGAGCCCAGTATGATTCCTGTTCTTCTCGTCCTTCTCCTCCCCGCCTGTCTTCTAGCAAGCTACAGACAGTTCGGGTTCCAAAACCATGATCTTTGCTCCGAGGTTAGACACTGTAGAAGCCTGACTTTTAGTTATAAGAAAATATGATTTTGTCCTACATGTTAAAATTAGAATTGAGTTTGCATAAAAGCGCAAACAGTTTCACTGATATTTTGCAAACTTGTTCAATCTCGGATTTTACACTAGTCATTCTTAGTATGTTAAACGAGTAACATATGAATAAATAAACTTGTGAAAATATGTTATCATTCTGAGTTATTGAGACTTCTACAACATCATTAATTCTTCCTCCGGATATTGATTTCTAGGAAGTGGAGAGGTCGCCGAAGCACCTATCACCGGTTCAAATCCTGAATCACCGACTCAAATCCTCTTTAATCTTTAACTTTGAATCGATAAATCAAGATTTGAACCGGCGGTAGTTAGTTCAGCGACCTAGCTCAAATTCGGTCCAAGGTAAATAAAAGTGTTGAAATAAAAAAAACATATTTTGTTTTTTGTAATGTTTTCAGAAAATTCTGACAACTTTAAACCTGTCCCGCGCTGTTTTGTCTCATGAACACAACTCGTAGTGATACATTAAAAAGACTGACCTACTAACTTTCCGACCTACTGCAATATCGGACCTACGCCAGCTTTATTTTTGTATTATTTAATGGTTAGGTTAGTTAAAGACAATTTATGGCCCGAGCGCTGCGGCTAGGACAGGCTATGGGGCCGGGCGCTGCGGCCACAAGTCCATTTAGCAGCTGTAAAACCACGTGCTAGTAGGTCGGATGTGTAGTATAGCGGATTTGTCGCAGGTCAGAAGTGAAGTATAGCGGATTTGCGTGGGTCGAAAAATACACCGCCCAAGAAACATTTAAGGTTTAGTGTACCGCGATGCTGTACAATGAAAAAACGTTCAACAGTCAATCAACGGGAAATAAAGATGCTATAAGTTTAATCTATTCTAAATATCGAAAGAATAATTTTTTACTAAGCGAAAGGTTTAAAAGGAATTATTAATCTTCTTTTAGTCCGTTTCTTTCAGTAGTGACGTGAAATAACGTTGAAAATGACAAAAGTGAAATTTAACCTTTTTATTGAAAAATTTTGAATAGTTAAACCCGTTTTCTCTACTCTTTACTCCCTAGGAGGAGAAAGGAAAGAGTTTACAGCTCGGAGCAGGAGCAGCTCTTCTATCTCTGGATGGATTCGGAGCTATGGAAACCTTTCTCAAGTGTAGTGTCAAAATAGAGGCAGATGAGGGATTGGGACTTATGGTAGGTTCACCCGATGGTGATTAGTTCACGTTTTTTAATCAAATTCATTTGGCGAACCTTTTATTTAATTTATGCATACTTATTTTCCCCCCAAAAAGCTATTAGTTAAAAAATTCGATCATGTTTCTGAAAAGAAAGAATTTCTTCTTTTTACAAACTAGAACACGTCAATTTAATTCATCCCTAAATGTTTCATTATTAGGTTTACGTGGAGGAGATGCATTTGAGGATTGATGAGAGGCCTGGAGTACTCCAGGAGAAATCTTGTATCGACTATGTACAGTTCGGTAGAGACGATCTTATTCCTTTCTTTACGATCAGTAAGTCGGAGAAGCTTTGCGGAAACCGAACCGGATTTGTTTACGATGAACCCGGAGGAAAACTGTTGGTTTGGCTAAACATAGGCCCGGGCCGTGCAAACAATTATAGAGAGTCTGCTCAGAACGATCGTCTCACGGTCGTTGTCACAGCGTACAAGCATCTTGCCAAAGAGGAGTCGACAAACTTCAGGTTCGGAATTTTTAAAACATAATTTACTTTTTGATTTTTGATTTTTTTATCAATATTTTTTTCAGATTATGTAGTGTAGGGAGTAAGGCAATACGTAAAGAATATTTTTGTGACCAAAGAATAAATTGTGCCTTGGATAAAATACCCGGTGACGAACGACCGGAGATCTGTCGGCACAATCGAGGTTCAGCGCAGGACGGAGAATATGATAACCCTACCGGTGATTGGAACCCACCCCTGAACCTAGTGAGTATAACTCTAGTCCTTGTCTCCGGAGTAGTTCTCCTGGTTCTCATTCTTCTCCTTGCTGCTCGGATGCGTAGATCAGGCTGGTTCTGCTTCCGGAGACCGCTTATTATTGATTGCGAGCTGCCGGAGCGAGCTGTCGGAGTAACAAGAGCTGCCGCAGGACATAGAGCCGGAGCAGGGTTGGTGAGAGTTATGAATTCCGGAGAACAAGAGAACCTGTTCCGACCCGCGTACCTTGAACCACGCCAGGATCCGGGTTTCATCTTACCTAGAGGAACCACACCCGAGGCAGAACCACCTCCAGCATATCATGATCTGTTTCCGGCCGGATATAAATTCGACCCGGAGAAAGTGCCGGAAACTAGTCAGAACCTTCTGTCCTCTAAACCAGAGGAATCCATTGAACTCCAGGACCTGCAGGCGGTTCCGGAGTACGGAGAACTTCAAACAGCTCCGGTTGAACCAACCCCTACTTCGGGTGGATCAGGATAGTGTTGATAGTTATCAATCTTTCATCTTCACACTCCCATTTTTCATCCTTACTCCAGTGACCAATTCGTCCGACTTGACCTATCCCCTCTTAAAGTATGACCGTTGGAACTAAAGCGGGGAGGAGATTATAAGATTCGCTTTCCAAAGTTCGTTTGCGTCTTGCCATAATAATTTTTGATATCCCTTTATCTCTCTGTACAATATACTGCTTCTCTGGACGATGTTATACAGTATTGTATGAACACCTCCAAACCCAATTAGTAATAATTGTTTAAACTATTCTACGGTCGTACTTTAAAGATGTAGGGTCGACCATGTCGACCGTTATTAGTTCACAATCTGTCAGATCACCGAGTAACAATTAGTCAGAAGTTCACAAAACTATATTTTTACATTTCATGCTCATTGAACAATGTTCTCTCTTTCAAGTTCACAAGTGGGGTTTTCCTCTCAATATTTTTCACAAGTTTAGAGAAGATTAAAATTTTAGTTTTCTAGTCTTGCTACATTACTATCCGCTTAGATTGTAAATACTTAAAGGGACCGTTCACTTATTTCGGTAATTTCATGGTAAACTAATACGCCTATTAGCTATTCATTGGTATATTAGTCTTACTTCTCAAAGATATCTATGACCGGAGAAAAAGCCGATTTATTGTTTAAAATACCAGTGGAAAGGTATAATACCTTAGCATAGACACCATTTAAACGTTTTTTCAGTAACAAGAGTTCAATAAATTCTAAAACTATCATGTGTTAATGACATCATGTGTCAGCCATTATATATTAAAATATAAAAACTTTTGATTTTAGAATAAGCAAGAAATTAACGTTTTTCGTGTTCAAACATGTAGACGACTTTCTCTCAGACAAACTGGTTCCTAGATTCCAACTCTTCAATAAATCACGGGGATTTCTGGGGGAAGTAGGGAAAACGTAGCAAACCGTCAAATGTTTAAAATAAGTTTTATTTTGAAACAGACATATTTAGAATAATTTTGAAAAAAAATTTAAGGTAATTAACTATGAGATACTAAAAATCCATTACTAAAACAAAAAGCATCAAAGAGGGTAAATGCAAAGGTAGCATACCTTTGCGCTGGAATTCTGAATGATAAATCGGCTATTTCTCAGCCCACAGTTTTCTTTGAAAAAAGTAAAAGTAATACCAATGAATAGCTAATAGGCGATTTAGTTTACTCCCAAATTACCCACATAAGTGAACGGTCCCTTTAAAGATATTGACCCCCATTAGACAAATCTTCCCAAAGTAAAAATAAGCATTTTATACTTTCAAACTCACTTGTCATTGCTTACACCAAATGTAAATATATGAATTAAGTATTTTTAGATTTCAACGAAAATATTTGAATAATTTGATAATACCGGGCTCGATCAATGATCATATTTGTTAACACTTGTTTAACTAATGTCAATGATTATTTTCATAAATTAGTCCTATTGATGAAAACTGTCGACTTGTAATAAACTAGATGTAATTGTAATTGTATATATATTTAGGTTGTATCTTCCTGTTTTGTAAAGAAAAAATTTATATTTATATGAAAACTAAATAAATATATCAGATTTTGGAACTAATTGTTTATTTTTGTACAATGTTCAGAATTGTTAAAGGAATTAGTACAATGTTTACGTAATGTTTGTACAATCGATTGTATTTTGTCATGTTTTAAAAAATTGATTGAATGACCCTAGAACTTATTTTTCTTTAGTTTTTTTTTACAGAAAATATTTGAGCCGAAGTAAACTTTCAGATGTAATGGATTGGAGGGATAAACCTTGCTTTACTATACCAGAGGATGCCAAGCTCACAGATCTATCCCTGTCATGGCAGGGTCGAGGTACAGGGACTCAAAATATTAACAGGAATACATGGTCAATTCAGAAAGTATTCTTTTCTTAAAAATATCTTTATTTTGTGATCATGACCAGAGCGTCCCATGTCGCGTTGGATTATACATAAGCATTTAAGTCAAAATACGTACAACATTTAGATTTTTACCCGTTTCATTTTTTATAAACAATCCTCTACTTCCAGTTTTTTCCATGTTGTTCCAAAAATCCTAGTTTAACGCTTTGCACGATCAAATGGGATTTAGGACACTCTGTACTGTACATTTTCACATTCCATAATTTACTAAATGCCTGCGTTTTTGTTGGTTGAGGCCTAAACTTAGTTTACTTCTGTATCGATGGTACCCCTGTGCCCCCCCCCCCCTAGAGCCAGAGGCAGGCTCTAATTTATTAAACAGTAAACTTACATATATATATTAAAATTTTTTCTTTTCTTATCAATTGACAATGTCACAATTTGTCCATTTCATGATTATTTCTCAAATTCGATAGATTATATAATACGTACGGACAATAAGGACATTACATATCCTTGTTTCTAGAGAAAATTTTACAAATACGTTTTTAAGATAAACCTCTCCAGTCTCCAGTCTCCATTCCATAAATATTAAAGTCACGAAAATTTTCGTAGAGCGAGCACGGGTTCCGGGTCGATTAAACTATTTCCTGCGAGAATATCAGCGGGACGGAGTTCAGTTTCTCTGGGATAGATATTGCAGGGATGGAGGAGCAATCCTTGCTGATGATATGGGTGAGATTTAGAATCTATAATATTTTCACAGTTCATATATTTTAATGGTTGCTGACTATAGAATTGTAATCTCTGTTTGTCTGGGTGTCTGTTCAGGCCCGTAACCAGGGGGGAGGGTGCAGGTGCACCCCCCTTTCTTCTAAAAGGGGGGTGCAATGACGAATTTGCACCCCCTCCCAGTCCCATATAAAAGAAATTTATTTATTTTTTATGTATATTGTATATGTAAACTGAAAAGTTTCAGACACTAAAATTTAACCCTTAAAAGCTTTAATACATTTGGTAAAATGGTTAGTCTTTATAGCGTACATTGACAATGTAATAAAGAAAACCATATACCACCGTAAAAACAAACCAAGCATTGCTTTTTAAAAAAACCAAAAAAAAAATTTCGCCCGCGGCGCGCTTCTTTGCACCCCCCCGGGAAAAATCCTGGTTACGGGCCTGTAGTCTGTTTGTTTGTTTGTCCGATCATATCTTAGGAACCCCCCGGACCGATTTGCCTCAAATTTTGATGGGGGAACTAGGGAGACCCACTAAAATGTTCTTAGCTTAGTTTTGAGATTCTAAGTTGAGTGGGACAACTTTAATAGGGAAAATTTAGTTTTTCGGTAAAATCGTTTAAGTGCGGGTAAACGGCGGGAGTAACTTTTAGAGCAGAGCAGAGCTGGGTGCCAAAGCTAGTATTAGATATTTTAATGAGAAATTAGGAATATAAAAAAATGTAGACTTGAAAAGTTCTAATTATTTTATTTTAATTTTGAAGATTTTATTCGGAGAAAAATCTGAAAATCATGACTTTCAAAAACTTTTCTAGAATTATTTAACGGTACAGTACTGCAGCTCCGAATTCCAAGGTTTAAACCAAAGATTTATTTTTGTCGAAATGAAATATAAAATTTTAGGTCTTGGGAAGACGGTGCAGATTATCGCATTTCTATCAGCACTCTACCACAAAACCGGTTTGCATGCGGATAACGATGAAAACCGGTTAGTTTCGACCGGGAAAAACCCCTGTTCTCCGACCCTGATCATCTGCCCCGGCTCCGTCCTGTCCAATTGGGAGGAGGAGATCAAAACCTGGGGTAACTTTGTCACCAAGGTTTGAAAATACTTAATTACAATTTTGGATGAATTCTCAACGTCATTTAAAAAAAGTTCAACACTACCTTTTTATTTAAGTAGCGATGATGGACATGTTTTTTTCTAATGATCTACCAAAATTTGCCAATATCATTAATTACACTGGATAGAGAAACGGCCAAAATATCCGTCTGTTAAAGTTTGAAGATTGTAGGAATACTACTGTAAATCATTGGTGGCGCTATTTAATTACGGGGTCACTTTTTTATTGGTTATTTTGGTAAATTATATTTAGAATATCTACATGAGTCTATAGATTCACTGAATAACTATTTTAATCACTAATTTTTTTCAAACGATGTCTCTAACATATCGTTGATAATCTTTTACACATCTTATGATTTCTAGAAGTTTTAATATCTCTTGTCAAATTGTTCCACACATTCACTACTACAGGGTGTCCCACGAAACATGACAGTTGGTGATATAGTTTATAATGTCTTCTTCTATAATTTGTTAGTTGTTTGACAACAATTAGACAATAATACAAATATATGGGAGTCATGTTGTAGTAAGGTTTCAAAATAAAATAAGTTTCAAAAAAAGATTTTTTAACGAAATAAACTGCAAAAAGCCTTTTATATCTAATAAAGTATATGAAAGACTATAACTATTTACCAACTGTCATGTTTTGTGGGACACCCTGTATTTGACTTAAACCTCACATTGTTATTCTCGCAATGCTTTATTGTTTACAAAATGACGTTTTTTTTCAACTAAAGAAAGTTATATAGATGTTAATTTACATCTCAGGAAAATGTGTAGATATTTATTTTTTACTTACTTAAGTCCTGTCATTTTTTGATATATTTTAATTTTTACAGAAATTCTACAAAACTGATCGAGATACAACCCTAACCCTGAGCAAAGAAGGCAGATGTGAACTTGTGCTGACCACGTTTGAGACCGGGAGAGATCATGTATCCGTCCTGAACCTTGTAGATTGGAGATTAGTTATTGTGGATGAGTGCCATAGGATTAAGGAACCAACATCAGCTGTTACCAGAGCTCTCAAATCTTTGGGTAAGTGAGATATGTAGCAAATATTTTTATTTAAAATGATAATCTTATAGAAAGTAGAAGGATTGTTAAATGTACATCTTTCTAAAGTTGTATTCTAATTAAATGTATGATGTAGAAGAATTGGATTATTTAATATATATCCTTCTATAGTTGTATTCTAAAATGTAGAAGAAGGATAGGATTGTTTAATGTATATCCTACTAGTTGTATTCTAGAATGTAAGAGAAGGATAGTATTGTTTAATGTATTTCCTACTAGTTCTATTCTAGAGTGTAGGAGAAGGATAGGATTGTTTAATGTATATCCTACTAGTTGTATTCTAGAATGTAGGAGAAGGATAGGATTGTTTAATGTATATCCTACTAGTTCTATTCTAGAATGTAGGAGGATAGGATTGTTTAATGTATAACCTACTAGTTGTATTCTAGAGTGTAGGAGAAGGATAGGATTGTTTAATGTATATCCTACTAGTTGCTTACTTACTTGTTTACTTGATGGATTATTCCCAGAGCTCCAGGTAGGAACATGAGGGGAATTTCTGTAGTATCATCTGGAGTTGTGATCCGGTCATCTTATAGAGGTCACGCTGTAGGGTTTAGCTCACTTCTCCTGGCACAAGCATAAAGGTTAAAAGTCTGTCATATCGAGCAATTTTTTTAAATGAGTTCAGCGTCCTAGCTTCCTTTACTTTGTTGGGAGTCCATTCCATGAATTAACAACTCTATTGGAGAAAAAATTATATCTCATATCAGTCCTAGATCTGTTAGAAATCAGGTTCTTGCAATAAGCTGTTGTGCGTGTTACTCGTTGTGCATTTAATCCTACTGTACTGAACCATATACTGCTGTCTACCTGGTCGATTCCTGACAATATCTTGTAGGTTTGAATGAGGTCATATCTTATTCTACGTTTTTCTAGGGACAATATACCCAATTCTACAAGTTTTTCTTTATAATTACCACCTTTCAGACCAGAAATCAAGTTTACTGCTCGTCTCTGTACTTTTTCCAATATTTCTATATCTGTAGCCGTCCAGGGTGACCATGCTGGAATAGCGAATTCCAGATGGCATCTAATAAACTGAGTGTATAATTTAAGAAAAGTGATTCTATCCCTGTACATGAATGCTCTTGAGACCTGACCTAACACCACAGATGCCCTGCGAGCTGCCTCTGCACATTGTTTTGAAGGTTTTAAATCATTGTATTCTAGAATGTAAGAGAAGGATAGGATTGACTGGGACTGCACTGCAGAATAAGTATGAGGAACTTTGGTGTCTCCTAGACTGGGCTAATCCTGGTTGCCTTGGTTCATGTAAACATTTCCAGAGAGAGTTCAGGTTACACACATATCTAACTTATCATATTCAAATCAAAATCAAGAATTGTGATGTTTCCCTGAGCTTTGATTTCAAGTTCATCAAGCATTGATATCTGGCCATCTTATGCATATCCCGTGATGAGGGACCAAGCATATATCCCTCATCACAAGATATGCATATATATTTATATATAATATTGTAGTGACCCATTGTCCCAATGATATTATTGTAGTGTCCCATTGTTCTAATGATATTATTGTAGTGTCCCATTGTCCCAATAATATTATTGTAGTGTACCATTGTACCAATGATATTGTAGTTTCCCAATGATATTGTAGTGTCCCAATGATGTTATTGTAATGCACCAATGATAATATTATAGTGTACCATTGTACCAATGATATTATTGTAGTGTACCATTGTCCCAATGATATTATTGTAGTTTCCCAATGATATTATTGTAGTGTACCATTGTCCCAATGATATTGTAGTGTACCAATGATTTTATTGTAGTGTACTATTGTCCCATTGATATTATTGTAGTTTTCCATTGTCCCAATGATATTATTGTAGTGTCACAATGATATTATTGTAGTGTCCCATTATCCCAATGGTATTATTGTAGTGTCCCATTGCCCCAATGGTATTATTGTGTCTCATTGTCACAATGATATTATTGTAGTGTCCCATTGTCCCAATGATATTGTATTGTCCCATTGTCCCAATGATATTATTGTATTGTCCCAATAACATTATTGTAGTGTTCCAATGATATTATTGTAGTGTCCCAATGATATTATTGTAGTGTCCCAATGATATTATTGTAGTGTACCAATGATTTTATTGTAGTGTACCATTGTCCCAATGATATTATTGTAGTGTCCTATTGTCCCAATGGTATTTTTGTAGTGTCCCATTGCCCCAATGGTAATTTTGTGTCCCATTGTCCCAATGCTATTATTGTAGTGTCCCATTGTCCTAATGGTATTTTTGTAGTGTCCCATTGCCCCAATGGTATTATTGTGTCCCATTGTCCCAATGATATTATTGTAGTGTCCCATTGTCCCAATAATATTATTGTAGTTTCCCACTGTCCCAATCATATTATTGTAGTGTCCCATTGTCCTAATGATATTATTGTAGTTTCCAATTTTCCCAATGATATTATTGTAGTGTCCCATTGTCCCAATAATATTATTGTAGTTTCTCATCGTGATAATGATATTATTGTAGTGTCCCATTGTCCTAATGATTTTATTATAGTTTCCAATTTTCCCAATGGTATTATTGTAGTTTCCCATTGTCCTAATGATATTAATGTAGTTTCCCATTGTCCCAATGATACTATTGTAGTGTCTCAATGTTATTGTTGTATATTCAGTATCTATTTCTTTTTTAACACTATTTATTACCTTGAAACTTATTAACTTTAAAGGGAAAGTTCCGAAATCAAGAATAATTATTTCAGGTTTCAATGCTCCAGTGTTTAGTCTCCCACCCTGATACTAAGCTAGTACTCAAGGCCTGGGGAAGATGCTCCTGTGGTGGGAAGCGTCCAACTATCCTCTGCTGTCAGAAGCAGCTGAGCAACAAGGACGGAGTTAGTCCTAAGATACTGCTGCTCCAACTGATGCATATATTCATTAAAGCAGCGAACCATGCTGCTCTGCTGCTCCCAGGAAGGTCCTCTGCCAAATCTCAGGAGAGAATAAGTTCGGATGTTTGTAATCAGATGTTCCAAGATAAACCTAAACTCCTGGAAGGTATTTCAGTAAAGTGATTTTTTTTATTGAAGCATCCATGATATAGGTCCTCAGATACGTCTATAAGAAACGCCTAGTTGTTGCTAAATCCAAAAAATTTGGGTAAAATGTATATTTTCTAATAATTTAAACAATCCTTATTCAAACAAACTCGAATTTATATTTTTATATTATTGAATTGTGCAGGATGGAGAGCTGGGAAATTTCTAGAAATGGCGGACACAAAACTCAGGATTGGAAAAGACATATACTAATAAAAAAGAATGAAATTGTATAATTTTATTTAAGAATGTATAAATTCCTTTTAGAATCATTCATTGTTGTTGAGCTCTTTCAAGTGACCTTCCATGTAACAGCAAGATGTGGAAGATATCGTCGTTTTCCTGACTCGAAAAGTGTTCTGATAATTTCTCCATTTCTTCTTATAAGCTAAACATGCGCAAGCAAATGAAAATTAAGAGTTTAAAGAAACAAAAACATTGATATCTAATTTATACTTGAGCAGACAAAGCTTTTAAGGGTACCGATGTAAATTGAGCATTGCCTTCTTTGCAATTACACTTACAGTCCCTTTAAACTAGAAAAGAAACTGAAATATTGAAATATTGATGTTTGCGTGAACATTTATTTATATATTACACAGAGCCTCATTGGGTTTTTAATTGTTATTAAGAATTCTAGATTGCCATTGTTATTTATTTATTGTAGTCTAAACTTAAAGTGGAAAGATGGTAGTACTATCTGGACTCCTTCATGTTATGGAATCCCAGAGGGGCAAGGTAAACTGTAGAATAGATTTCAATATGACGAGTTAACAAATCATCAGTACACAATACACATATATGTACAGTGTACTTTTAAACCAGAAACAGTTATAAAAATTACGCATCAACTATTGAGACTGAGACTGCACTGACTTTGAAAAGTTGACATTCTATTGCTCTTACTTAAACCTCAAAAATACACTTATACTTTTTTGTTTCACTGTACGTGAAGATTTCAAAGCTAAAAGCGTTTCTTTCAGTTACAGTTTTATGCTCTAGTTTTTTTCGCGAAATAATCTGGATTACAAGGACGACTTTGAGATAAACGAGATTGTTTGTGATTTATTTAGTACTATAGATTTTTTGTTCTCCTGTTCTTCTACAGAACTTATATGTTTCAGGTTCTCTTGTTCTCCTACAGTACTAGAGTTCTTGATTTCAATGTTCCTGAGATCCAAGGGATATATTTAGTTCGATATTTAAGGTTCTCCTGTTTTCTTACAGTACTAGAGTTCTTGATATCCATGTTCCTGAGATCCAAGGGATATTTTTAGTTCTATATTTCAGGTTCTCCTGTTCTCCTACAGTACTAGAGTTCTTGATATCTATGTTCTTAAGATCCAAGAGATATATTTAGTCCTATATTTAAGGTTCTCCTGTTCTCCCACAGTACTAGAGTTCTTGATATCCTATCCATGTTCTTAAGATCCAAGGGATATATTTAGTTCTATATTTAAGGTTCTCCTGTTCTCCCACAGTACTAGAGTTCTTGATATCCTATCCATGTTCTCAAGATCCAAGGGATATATTTAGTTCTATATTTAAGGTCCTCCTGTTCTCCCACAGTACTAGAGTTCTTGATATCCTATCCATGTTTTTAAGATCCAAGGGATATACTTACACAAGGCTGGATGGAAATACTAAAATGGAACAAAGGTTTGCTATAATCGGCTTTAAAAATTTTCAACCTGTTCATCTAAACAGTATAACTTAACTAAGTTCCCGGTGAATAATTCTTATTCTTGTCACAATAATTTTAATTATTACACGAAATGGGTGACAGTAATAAAAGTTATTGCTAATTTGGCTACATAGTAAATCCGATAAGAACGCGGTATAATATTCGTTTTAGAAAACTTGTAATCGTGTCTTTATTCACCCTGTAAATCTTCTCTAAAACCACAAACATTCCTTTTAAAGGATTTATTTACTGCATATTGATGCTCTGCACCCTGAGGGCGGTCTGGGGGTTCCATGTCGGGTTCCTTTTCAGATCTTATAATTATTATTATTATTATTATTATTTACTTATTAGGCAAAGGTTGGTGAATGAGTTTAACACGGATCCCGGGATATTTGTGTTCCTTGTATCAACTAAAGCTGGTGGAGTAGGGTTGAATATAACCGGAGCTAACAACGTGATCGTGTTTGATCCAAACTGGAATCCGTCCCATGATCTTCAGGCACAGGACCGGGCATACAGGATAGGTGAGTACAATCTACTTTTCAAAGCTTTTTAAATTGTCGGAACGGATTAAACTCATTCTTTTTCCGCGAAGATATGTTATATAAAAATGATACAATAAGATATTTCATTGAATGCAGGGTTGTACTTGAAAAAATAATAAACGTATCTTTCTATGTTGAAATAAATATACTAGCTGTGAGATCTCTAGTTATTGTACAATGTTGTTCTGTTGTAAATACATTTCTTTTACTTGTAAATACTATAGTGGGAGCCATTAAACTTTGGAAAATGAAGACGATTGTTAAGTTTATGACTTTGAAAAGTCCAATAATCACGCAATTGTGCAATGTTTACGGATTTAACAAAAAAAGTAAATTTTCAACCTTTTGGTTAAACTATTTGCTTCATGATAAAAGTCGTCTTTATATTCTAAAGTTGTATGGGTCTTACAGTACTAATAAATATATACATATTATAATACAGGTTGTCCCAATAAACATGGGAATTGAGTGACGAATTCAATATCGTTTTTTAAATAATTCTTTGATTTAGTATAGTAATACCTACTGAGAAAGCTGTAATCTGTAAGAGTTTCGTCTGCTATATTCACATTTTGTTTGTTTATGTTTTGACTGCATACGGTTGTACAAGAAAATTGCAGTTAACAAACACAGTAAACATGTCCGTCATCTTCACTGTTCATCTTGCGGAGACATTATAAACACATCTTTACAGTCTTTTACCCTTTTCATAAAATAAACTCTAGCAGACATGATAATATTATGGCTTTTGAAATTATGAATTACAATGCTAATTCATAACAAAGACGATATCGAATTCGTTGCTGAATTCCCGTGTTTTTTGGGACACCCTGTATTTGCAACCCTAGAATTGTTCTGGGGACATATCATATTCGACAGTTACAAATTTGAAAGTCCTATTAAATAAAAAAAAGAACAAAACCTGCAATTATTCTGTTTTATTTTAGTTATACCACGTTATCTAGGTCAAACGAGAGATGTGAACGTGTATAGACTCATCTCTGTTGGATGTATAGAAGAAATCATTTATCTTAGACAGGTATAATTTGAAGGTGAAAGGAGAAGAGTTAACAAATACGAGAAGAGCAACGAGAAAAGATATAAAATTAGAAGTGAGATAGAAAGATGATAGAAAGATATAAATATTTAAAGAAATTGGACGGAAAGGGTGAGAGGGAGAGAAAAAAGTTTTTAAATAAAACTTTATATAAATATATGGTTTAGTATTAGAAATATTATGAATATAACTGTTAAGGTATATAAACAGCAGTTGGCTTCATCAAGCGTAGATGGAGAAACAGCTCGGAGATATTTCCTGGCTGTTCAGGGGGATCCCACCAGGAAAGGAGAACTTTTTGGAATCCGGAACCTTTTCCGGGTCAACCCTGTCGGCCAGTGTCTCACCCTGGATATAGAAGAACGGAACCGAGAGATGGAGGAGCGTGTGAAAGGAATATGTCGGAGTAAGGTTCAAATACAACCGAACCTGCTCCCTGAGAATTTAGAGGAAACAACTTCGGATCCGTTCAACATAGGGTTGGAGGTTGAACTGGAGGGAGCAGGGTTGGAGGATATTGAATCCGTCCTGGCAAAGAGTGGGGTTATTTACTCCCATATGAACCAGGGTGTGGTTGGACCCTCAAGGGCAGAGCAACATATCTCAGAGTGTGCTGTAAAGGTATTTATTAAATGTTGAAGAGGGGTACAGGACGAAACCTAATCAAATTATGTGAATTATCTAAACAGGCTGGTACTAACAACCCAGCTGTGTGACCTGTGAAATGACTTATAAACCCCTGGTATGGATAGGCTTTCATAAGTCTCCTTAGAGTATTAAGAGAAAAAAATTTAAATTTTTGTAAAAATTAGTCTTACGCCCTCATAACAAAATCATGAACACTCCCTTTAATATTAAGATGGAAGTAAAAGAAGAATATAAAGATTTAATTTATTGATCTTCTATTTTAAGGACCTTGAGTCTGGTTCAGTTCCTGGATATTTACCGGCGGAGCAGTGTGATATCCTCACTCCATCACAGGTTAAGATTAAACCTAGCTGAACAGTCACAGTGTTATCCATATAGAATGAGACTTAAAGAACGACGCACAACAATTAAAAGGAATTTAGTTCTTGCCGGAAATCAAAATTTTATATTTCTTAAATCTTTGCAACCAGATGGTTGAAAACCTTTGATATTTTGATCTGACATAATTCACAATAACAAGAACACCCCCCCCCCCCATCCAACCCTAGCCACAGAAAAAAGGATTGTGCCTCCGTGTTTGAAATAGTTTTAAGTATCAAAGGTCTGCACTTTATAGAGCTTTTCAAAGGTATATTTAATGACCTGACAACGAAAGAAGTGTACAGCTGCAGGGGAACATGTGTTAAGAAAAGTACGAAATTAATTCCGTACAGTCGTTTCTAAAAATCTCATTTTTTTGGTATCCCTTATTTGAAATACCAATGATAAAGATAAATTTTGTAAAATATTTTAACAATGATTAACTACAATATTAATTTCCAGGGTTTGGTTTGTCATGAAGAACCAAAACTTGGATATCAACCGCAGAGCGCAGGAAACCGTCCTAAAAGAATCAGGGACGGAGACAAAACCTTTATATACGGAGAATCTCCTGAGGACGTTAAGATGCAGATCTTTCTCCGTATAGCGAACCAGGAGAAACTGAACCCGACAGAGTTTGCGGAAAAGATTGGGAACCTCGACTTTATAGGAAGGATGCAGATTATTGAAAGGTTTCATCAGAAGCAAAGCACTCCCGCCTCAGTTTTTAACCTGTTAAAGACTGCTAAGGAAGAATATACTCAAGAGCTAAAGAATACCACACTTCGTAGAATCAGTTATCAGCCCTCTATTAATTATTTTGACAAACATAAGAAAATAAATGATGGCGACTCAAAAATTCCACGTGGGGATTTTAATCGGATGGAGTCCAAGATGAATTTCAAAGATGATAATGATTTCCAGGGCAGACCAAAGAATACTGAAATTTTGAACAGTAACGAAACCCATTTCAATCTCCGAGAGAAACCCTTGACTGATACTTCGGATGATGAGAGTTTCTCCGATGATGAAGACATTTTGACCAAAGTTCTAGATCGAGATGAGTTCTCTAAAGATGACGATATTGTTCGAGTCCTAGATCCTATGCCTAAACCTACTTCGATGTATCCTAAACACGGAGCATCTAGCTCTATGAAAACGACGACCTTTGCGGCCTCGGAATCCAAGAACAAAGAAGAAAAAGGAGATGATATCAAACCTTTTAGAATAAAACCTGCTCCACCCCCGGGAATTGTTTACAAAAGAATTCGTCTGGATTCCGTAACTCCGGAGCCGAAAGATCCCATTGACGAGATATTTGACGATGATGATGATGATCTTAACGAGATCTTCAAGAAAGAGCTGAAACCCTGTTCCTCCACCTCTCTAAGCTCATCCTCCACCCTGAGCAAACCATCCTTGACACCAAGGTTGGAACGAAAACCAAGTTTAGAGGATCCTTGTTACGACATGATTTTTAACTGAATTATTATTAAATTTATACTTTTATATAGTGCTAAAACCGCCTTTATCCTGGCTGTGACCGTTTATAAATTTTTTTATTGATTTTACAATTTTATAATGAAATTTTGTAACGTTGCTTAAAGAAATGAAATTTTATGTTTATTTTGATGAACAAAATATGTTGGGATTTGATTATTATATATATTATTTACATATCATTTGTAAAAATGTATATTTTGTATGCTAATATTAATTTGTTGTTAATTATTTCAATGGTTTAGAATTTAGACTGATAATGCTTGATGATTTGTACCAAATTTATTTTGTGAACTGCATTTTGTAAGTAAAACAGTGTACATTAGAGTTTTCAGAGCAATGTACTCGTGGGAAACGGAAATGGAGGAAGAGGAGGAGGATTTGGTCGGAGGCAGAGACAGAGAGTTCGGAGGGAAAAATGTTCTCATCTTCCTAGTTGACGGATCAGCAAGGATGCAGGTAAGGAGTTTATACGCAATGTATTCCGGATGTTAGCAATAGCAATAGCAGTAGCAGTAGCATGATGTATAATAATCCTGGTCTTATACAGGTTGAGGATGAAGGAGAAACTTTACTTCAGAAAGCTCTTAAAGCTGCCAATGCAACACTAAAGGGATGTTTAGTTCATCTAACTTTTGGTGGACACCATTTTTATTAAATTAAAGTATTGATGATAGTTTGATAATGATAATAATTAAAAAATTTTGAAAATCCTAAATTTAAGTTCTGAGACTTATTCCAACAAAATAAAACCAACTAAACCCCCAGAGTAAGATATTCGGATCCTCTAAAGATATAATCGGAGTTGTTGGGTTCGGAACCACAAACAAGGTTCCGGAGAAATTAGATTTTCAACATATCAGGTAAGTCCTCCCCTCAATAAGCTTAGGATCTATTCCATTTACAGATCCTGGATGCGTCGTGGAAAAAATGGATCCAGATTCTCCAGAAAGTCAAAAAGTTTAGGATGCGGTTCCTGTATATGAAATATTCAGAAAAGGTTATTGTATACGCGGTAATTGTACGTTAGACAAATATTTCTTATTCAAATGGAGTACCCGTCTGCAAAGCATGTATAATCATATGGTAGGGCGAACCGCGTCAGTTAAATCTCCCTTCTATTCCTTTCTCCGGTCCTAGACCCTGTCTGTAATTTGTACAGTACATAATCTGTAAAATAGGAAGACGAACTTTTCTTAATCATCTGTGTATTTGATAATGTTATTAAGAAAACAGTTAGTAGGAAAATAATTAACTTACTAAGTTAAATGGGTCGTACAGTGTAATCATTTCATGTTTATTGAATTATTTATATCATAACATCAGTCATAACAGTCGTGTTCATATTCCACAGTTTTTGGGTTGCACCGCATATATGTCTAAGAAAACGTTCTAACAATCAATGTAACTTCAATTCCATACTGAATATTGGTCGGAGAATTGGCACATTGTTTTCGGATGCATTAAATGCGTGCCTTTTTCCAGTATTTTAAAAATTGTTTTTTTTTCAGTGAATTGACAACTATGGGTCCACCAAGCAGAGATAGTATCTTAGCTCTAGAATCTCTACTTTCTGACTCCGGGACGGAGAAGTTTAAAACAGAGTTTGGTTCGGACGGAGACATTAAACTCAACGAGGTTCTCTGGCACTGTCAATCCTTGATGTCTGATGTCAAGGGTAAGGTTGGATCGCGGAGAATCCTTCTTCTAACCTGTAATGATGATCCACATAATGGAGATGAAACCTTAAACCAGCAGGTAAACTTACCTTAATTCCTCTCCATAATCATATTCGTCCTGGGTCTTATATTCTTTTTTCTTCTATGAAAATGTACGTTCAGTCTGAACTCACACAGCGCACGCTTGAATTTGCAGCTGAATACAGTCGGGGTTCAATAAGTTTACACACACATATATCTGTACTCGACGAACACACAAAATTTTTTTTGCTTCCTTGCTCCTTGATATAATCTAATATTCAATTTCTTGACCTTGCATAATTAAAAGAAATTGTGCAAATAATTTGTTAAATCTATTTGTATTTTTATTTGTGTATTGCAGGCTAGGAGGAAGGCTGGGGACCTTCACTCAAACAATATATTTCTCGAGGTGATTCCTGTAACCAAACCAGGAGATAACTTTAACATGGAAAAGTTCTACTCAGATATCGTCAAACTGGCCGACGACGACTGGACGGGGACTGTGACCTCCCTGGATAGACTGACAGATATCGTCCTCAAGAAAACCTTTGTTAAGAGGACGACCTCGCGGCTCAAGTTTAATATCGGAGGAGTTGAGATTGGTGTTGCAACCTACAACATGCTGGGTAGAGCCAGTAAACCCACCAAGATAAAGCTTGCGTCTGACACTAACGAGGAGATTAAATCTGACAGAACCTGGATCCATCCGAGCAACGGAGCTCCACTCCTCCCCTCTGATATGGCAAAGTTCATGAGCTACGGCGGAAAGAACATCAAAATGGCGGAGAATGAGGTATCACAAATCAAATCTTTCGGAGAAGAGGCGAATTTTCTTAAACTTCTGGGATTCCGTTCTGCCTCAACTCTCAAGTTTAGAAACCACGTCAAAATTCCTCAGTTTCTCTACCCTTGTGAGAACCTAGTGAAAGGTTCTCGATCTCTTTTCTCCTCCCTCCTAGTTCGCTGCCATGAGAGGGAGAAGGTTGCCATCTGCTCCTTTAAACAGAGAAGCTCTTCAGGTAATGATTAAACATCATAATTTGTCCTAAAAATGAAGTGCAAATAATAAAATCGATGATCTTTACTGATCTATTTTTAAAGCTATTAATTTTGAACTATGTTGATTGTTGAATGTCGAATGTCGAATATCGAATAACGAATGTTGATATATAAAAAAAGGAAACTCTTAATGACCATCTTTGACACTTATGTAAACATACATCAAATATTTCTAATGTTATTTGGTTGCAAAGATCAGAAAATTAGATTTTGAGGTAAGTGTTTATTTACTTCGTTTGTTTAGGACCCAGGTATGCAGCTCTGGTTCTCCAGGTTGAGGAGATGGAGGAAGGAGAACAGACTAAACCTCCAGGGTTTCATGTTATTTATTATCTGTATCTTATCTAGGACCCAGCTATGCAGCTCTGGTTCTCAAGGTTGAGGAGATGGAAACCCTGGGTTTCATGTTATTTATTATCTATATCTTATCTATGTCCCAGCTATGCAGCTCTGTTTCTCAAGGTTGAGAAGATGGAGCAGGGAGAAAAGACTAAACTTCCAGGGTTTCATGTTATTTATTATCTATATCTTATCTAGGACTCAGCTATGCAGCTCTGGTTCTTCAGGTTGAGGAGATGGAGGAAGGAGAACAGACTAAACCTCCAGGGTTTCATGTTATTTATTATCTGTATCTTATCTAGTAACTTAATTTGTTTATTTAGAACTGCCGTTGACGCAGCTAAGAGTGTGATCAGTAAACTGAAATTAAAGAAGTTTATCCCAGTGGAGAATGCCGGGATCCAGTCCGTGTACAACATGGTGGAAACCCACGCCCTTCACAAGGACACCCTTGTCAAGGTGGAGGACGAGACTCTACCAGATATGGAGAGGATGAAGAGAAAGCTAGGAGATCGGAGCCAGGAGTTCCTACAGGAGGTTTATCAGGAGGTAGGTGTTCTAATCTGTTTACGACTGTTGCATTTTACGACAATTTTAGAGCTCTTATGTCTTACTACAACGGCCTTCTTTAAAAAATGACAAATGCTCTGTATTACTGTTAAATGGTACAATAAAGCACAGTTATCTACACTATTATGCATATTTTACATAAAGATCGGCCCAAATTTTAAGTGCCGCCAGACCTTTTCCCTGGATTTGACCTTATTAAATCACTTTTACTTTTTTTGCCCTGGGTCTGAGGATTTCAAAACTTAATATGATACTTTGACTGTAATTAATAAGTTAATTTTTCAGAAGTATATTAAGTTAGTATATAAAATATTTGTTCAGGGATACGACCCGTCTGCCCCTGTGAAGAAAGCTGCAAAACCTCGGGCTCCCAAACATGAGAAACCGGATGTAAGCGCAGACCTGGATATGGAGTCCTTTGTGAAGTCAGGGAAGGTGAACAAGCTGACGGTGGACGTACTGAAGGGATGGTTGAAGACCAGAGGAGTCCATGTCTCCAACAAGAAGAAGGCTGAACTTGTTGACGCGGTTCTTGCACAATTTAAGGAGAACTCGTGAAATCTTTTTGCTTTTTCAATTTTCTGTTTTCAGTTTTCCTATTTTTTTCCAAATCTTGTCCTTCTTAAGCTAACCATAATCCCATCTCTTAATCCTTGATCCTCAAAACTGTAATAATCCTGAAACCTTCATTTTTTAATTTTTTTTTATATAAACGTTCAGTCGATCCTAGAAGAACTAAATATTGGTGCAAATTCTTCTTTCATTCTTAGTTTTCGTTCTTAACCTCAAATTTCCTTGTTAATAAAAAAATATAGTAAACCGTTAAATACTCATCTTTTTAAATAGTTTTCGAGTTTTTTTCTTCTTCAAATCTAGCACTTCTGTTTTTCTGTGATTTTAACTCATGTGATATTGTATATGTATTTATAAATTAAAAATTTTTTTTAACGATTCCAATTGTATGTTAATTATTTACTCGCTTTGGTCCGAAGAATCTCCAACTGCGCGGTTTATCTTGTCAAGCGCGCGTCTGAGCGCACTGACTAGTTCATCCTCCTCAAACCTGAGGGATCCTGAGCTACTGTGCCGTGACCTCTGGAATAAATCAAGTTCAAGGGTCAGTAAACTTAATTACGAGTGACCCATCTTTTAAAGAGTGCCATTTTCAATTCACAATGCTGCCCCTTTAACATTTATTTATAAACTAGGAGGGGGATAGAGTCGTTTTTCTATCTTAATATGGGTTCAATTTTGAAATTTCCTCCATTTTCCCTTTACCATAAATCCGCTAATATTTTATTACATAGAGAAGCCACAGTTGAAAATAGTCGATTTTAAGATAGAAAATTAAAATAATTCATTTATCCCTGATCACAATCAGGATTTAAAGGGTAACCGTGTGAATCGGACACGCCGCTTTTTTACATGGAGGGCGACTTGAAATTGAAAATTTTCCAGAATAATGTAATTGTTATTAATTTTGATCTTACTATTTATGATAACATTCCAAAACGAAAGGTTAAAACCTGATTATTCGGATCCGGAGGTTTGAGCATGCTTCCTCTTCTTTTAATCATCTCCGTCAGATTCTCCGATGAACCCGGAGAATCCAAACCAACCGATAATCTATTAGATTGTAGTGGAGGAGGAGTATTTAGAAGAGACATTTGAGGCGGTGGTGGAGGAAGTGGGGGAGGTGGTGGAGGTGGAGTCAGGGTAGGTTTAGGAACAGTGTGGTCAGATTTTTTATCTGTTTTGTTATTGTTCGATTCCATTATAAACAGTGACTTTCTCTTATTCTAAACAATAACATTATTTTTCATTTGAAATCAAATTTTCATTTCCGGATTTGTACTTTATCATTTTGACCTTATTCCTGGCCTTTTCCAGTACTGAGAATAGGTTTGTATCCCTGACAAACCGTTCTATTAGATCCAACTTCTTAGGATCCTCCGTCACTCTTTCATCAATACCTGAGCAGATACAGAGGATTATACGCCAATACATGATACTAGAAAATGCAAACGACTTCACCTGAAAAGTTGGAATATTATTTTGCAAACATACGAATTACGGAAAAAAGCTGCAATAGGAAAAGTGCTGAAATATCGCAAAATGTTCGTCTTGATGAATTTCATGGGATTTTTCTTATCTCTTAGGGCTTCTGCTATAGAACAATGTAAAGTTGTATTAATCCTGATCTTGTTGTATATCCTATTTGATGACATTTTAGGAAATAATAAATATACGAAAAAATCAAACGGAAATGGGCACTTTTTATCATAAAAACCAACCTTCAAGAGCAAGAAATCTTCTTATTCTTGGGTCAAGTAGCCCTGAGTTATCAACCACCCTCATCCGTCCGCTCTCCATCCGTACTCCGTTAATATGAACTAGGCTTTCTAGTTTAGGACCTGGAGAAAAACATGTCTAGTACCTTCCTGGGTTTAAGAAATATCACTTTTTAAAGAGTATTTTACTTGCCTGCAATGTCAGCCTTGGTAATCTTTTTTATTGATTTTCTGAAGGATTTTCGTGGTTCCTTTTTCCCGCTTACGCCAGATCTCATTACCTAAATATTTGTTTTTTTCTCAGATGAAACCTGATTTTATTCCGATTTTTTATATATAATAATAGAATTCCGAAACTAAACTCAGAAAAATATGAAAATATGAAGGTGGATTAATTTTAAACTCCCTCCACAAAAAATCCATATTAACATGAGAACTAATGGCTTAAAATAACCTTACAAGTTATCTTTCTAAAAAAAGGAATTTTAAATTGTTTTCTCATGCCCTTTAGAAATCCTAAATGAGAAACGCGTTTTTTGTGCAAATTGAAACTTATTTATGATAGGTGTTGATAAAAGAAAAAGCTGGTTACATTTTGGAAATCCCACGGTTTAATTCAACACTTTGTTCAATTCTAAATTTTTGTTAAAAGATCAAATGTTATATTATGGGAAGGGATGAGTAGAGTAACCTAATAATTCCTGACCTTCTGTGCTTCCTGGTTTAACTCACAGTTGTCGAGGTTCCTCTGGTACTCCTTCAGGTTCTCTCTCAACTGAATATTCTCTGCGTTCAATCTCAAGTTCTCTTTCATCGTCTCCTCCAACTTTCTCCTCATCAGGTTCAACTCCTCCTTAGACAAAACCTTACTTAGTATACTAATCATTTAACAGCTCTTCCCAATGTCACGTAAAATTATTTACAAAGATCAATACTTAGAAGTTTTAAATTTTGATTAGTAATCTGGCAAAATGTCGGATGTCCGTTGCAATAAGCTGGAAATTTTAATTTGGAATATTAGAATTCATTGAAATGATTGCATTTATTAACTACGGACAGAAACAAGCTTCATTACAAATTAATTGATATATCATTGAAATGATTGCATTTATTAACTACGGACAGAAACAAGCTTCATTACAAATTAACTGTTATATCAGTCCTGACTTATTCATTTTTGGATTGAAGTGTGGTTATATGGCGTCCCTACAAGTCTGATTTGATATGATTTGATTTGTGGGGAGAATAAAGTTTGCTATGGGACTGCAGAGGGACCAATTTTGTTAAGATATTTAATTGATTTCTCTCCAACATCCAACAAAGATTACGATGCAAAATACCAAAGACTACCCACAATTTGCAATATTCTCATAACTTAACTCGAATTTTATTTTTAATTGGATCCTTGCTAACAACATTCTAATATTTAATCCAGTCAAACTTCTCCAATTGATTTAACATTGATGTTAAAAGAGGGGTAGAGTGTATTGCGTAAACCTTCAATATTTTAAACCTTGACTATTTGCTCTAATAGATTTCATCATCCAGAGTCCGATTTAATGAATTTGAGATGTGCCTTAAATCCTGCAGAACCCGGTTTTAAATGAGCGCCAGCTTTAATCTTGAAACATGAATACAATTTTAAGTGGAACCAACCATATTTGAACCGCGTCTCAATTTTAAAAAATAAATTTTTTTGAATTTCCACTAGTTTAGTTAAAACAAAGAATTGAAATTTGAAGAAAAAAGGTTTTCTTTCGAAGACAGACTTTAACAATTTCACAAGATTTTCAGATTGTAAATAAAGCACGTTTAAAATTTTTAAATCAAATATCTGACCTGTTTCATAACAAATTAATTCATGAATAAGAAAAAAAAATGGAATTATAAAACTAATCTTACCTCCATTTCAAGATCTTCTATGCTAGAGACAGAAACACAAAATAAAACTATTTCCCAGATTTTGTAAAGTTAACACTGAAAGGCTAGGCCTATGTTGTATACTGCTTGATAAGTAAACTATGCATTACTTCTTATCAAGCTCAAATATACATTAAAATATAATGTTCAGGTTCTCTATTCAAACCATCAATGATCGAAGAAAAAATTATTTAGAAAAAAATGTCTTGATTGAACAGGATGCATGGATTAGAACAGAAGAACGGGATGTCTAGATTAGAACAGGAGAACAGGATGTCTAGACTCAAACAGGATGTCTAGATTATAACAGGAGAACAGAATGTCTAGACTAGAACAGGAGAACAGGATGTCTAGATTAGAACAGGAGAACAGGATGCTAGATTAAAACAGGAGAACAGGATGCATAGATTAGAACAGGAGAACGGGATGTCTAGATTAGAACAGGAGAACAGGATGGATGGATTAGAACAGGAAAACAGGATGCATTGATTAGAACAGGAGAACAGGATGCATGGATTAGAACAGAAGAACGGGATGTCTAGATTAGAACAGGAGCATAAGATGTCTAGATTAGAACAGGAGAACAGGATGCATGGATTAAAACAGGAGAACAGGATGCATGGATTAGAACAGAAGAACAGGATGTATAGATTAGAACAGGAGAACAGGAACACAGAAGAACAGGATGTCTGGACTAGAACAGGAGAATAGGATGTCTTGATTAGATTAGAAGAATAGGATGTCTAGACTAGAACAGGAGAACAAAATGTCTAGAATTAGAACAGGAAAATAGGAGGCGTAGATTATAAAACTGGAGAACATGATGACTGGATTAGAACAGGAATTATTAGGACTTCAGATAAGTAATAACATGA